CCATACTAATAATGATCCAATTCAACCAATTCAACCATACTAATAATGATCCAATTCAACCATACTAATAATGATCCAATTCAACCATACAAATAATGATCCAATACAACCATACTAATAATGATCCAATGATCCAGTTCAACCATACTAATAATGATCCAATTCAGCCATACTAATAATGATCCAATTCAACCAAACTAATAATGATCCAATTCAACCATACTAATAATGATCCAATTCAACCATACTAATAATGATCCAATGATCCAGTTCAACCATACTAATAATGATCCAATGATCAAATTCAACTATACAAATAATGATCCAATTCAACCATACTAATGATCCAATTCAACCATACTAATAATGATCCAATTCAACCAAACTAATAATGATCCAATTCAACCATACTAATAATGATCCAATTCAGCCATACTAATAATGATCCAATGATCCAGTTCAACCATACTAATAATGATCCAATGATCAAATTCAACTATACAAATAATGATCCAATTCAACCATACTAATGATCCAATTCAACCATACTAATAATGATCCAATTCAACCATACTAATGATCCAATTCAACCATACTAATGATCCAATTCAACCATACTAATAATGATCCAATTCAACCATAATAATAATGATCCAACTATCCAATTCAACCATACTAATAATGATCCAATTCAACCATACTAATAATGATCCAACTATTCAATTCAACCATACTAATAATGATCCAATTCAACCATACTAATAATGATAACCATCCAATGATCCAATCCAGTACTTTCCATAAAAAGTTACCAACTAACACAATTAGTTACTTTTTTTAAGGAGTAACGCAATATTGTACCGGATTACTTTTAAAAGTAACTTCCCCCAAAAAGGATTGTAATAATTAAGTTTAATTATTAACTTTCTGTTGAAAGACGTCCGCATTCATTTGATTCAAAACTGCAAGACACCAACGAATGCGTCCTGACCGTGGGAATCGTTTTAATTGCAAAGAAACACGGCGTCTCATGAAAGCACCAAACATTGACCTTAATGCTTTTAAAACAGCATTGACTTGACCACAAACACATATGCTATATATCACCGGCCAGAACTCCCACAAGAGCCCAGAATGCTCTGATTTGCCGAGTAAGAGCATACCTAACACAATGCTATTTTATGCCAGCCATGCTCACAAACAATAATTAATAAAGCAGCTGTCTGCAAATTCTGGAGCAGCACAGCTGTGTAGACTATTTATAAAGGAACAAATTTCCATCGCCAGCTAACTCTTCACTTAGCTGTTCACAGTTACACGGAGCACAAGCATAGGACATACTGAGAGCCAAAAAAGAGACACGAAAATGGAGAAAAAGTATGCATTCAGTCATCCAAGATTTAAAGTGTTGTTAGAGATCTAGCGTGCTTTGAGGAGATCAGTGTGAGAAGCCAGTGTCACAGCGCCCTGACATGGTGAGGAATTATTTAAAGTACACATGCATTATATCATTCTTAATAGGGATCGACCGATATGGATTTTTTAGTGCCGATACCGATACCGATTTTTTTCCCATCAGCCTTAGCCGATGACCGATACGGGCTGCCGATTTTCTTGAGCCGATATTTGGAGCCGATACATTTTGCTCCCTCAATTTACATCTTAAAAATAACATGATGTTAACAAATGTTACAGGTCTCAATTTAATAAAAGTAACATTTAACTAACTTCAAAAATTTATATTTAACAAATAGTAAAAACATGTGAGGTAGAACAAGAACAAGTAGATAAACAATTTAAAAAAATATTAAAAACATGAAGTAGAACAAAAAAAGTTCAGTGCTGAAAATGAATATTTAAGCATAAATTAAATAATTACACTATTGCACACAGTAGCAACCAGCATAATAAAGTGCACAGTGCACACTGTACTTCATTTTAAAAGAAACGAACTATGTACTGCATGGTTTCAATTTTCCTACATAAAATAAAATGAGCATGTCTAGTCTCTAATATTACTGCGATTGCGAGGGAGACAAACTCCACACGCCCCAAACCTCAGCCAGGTGAGCGCTGAATAAATCTCCCACAAAAAGCACAGAATAACGTTGGCATTCCTTAATCCTATGACCAGAGTTCGTTACCGTATGCATACTAGGGCTGTCAAAATTGCTCAAATGGCGTTTGCATATTCCCTCTAAAAAACATATTCGAACATCCCGTTGCGCGTTTTGTTGTTGACGCGCATTACATCAATAACAGGACACATTAATAAAAAGAGACATAACTACTAGTATTAGATGGTTTATTTGAGTTTAAACATATTTGACAACGTATTAAAAAGCAAGTAAATCAACTAATGGCCAAGACCGCAGAGCTCACTCTGTCTCGCCCTGGACTCGCTCAGGCACTCTCTCTCTCTCTCGCCCTCACGGTCTCTGCGCGTCGGTTAAATGAACAACAAACAAATGTTGAGTGCTAAACAAGAGTTTTGTGCAAGCAATTTAAGGTTGCGAGTCGCGACTCTTGTCCCAAATATAGCAGGCTTCAGTTCATTCAGTGATTGAAGTTTCACAGTATAGAACCGACAGTGAGCGCTCCGAGCGAGCTGTGCAGCTGTGGTAACGTTACAGTCTGCAACCGCGGGCGTGTTTTTCCACATTCAAATATTAATTTTCACCTTCAAAATTAATAGATATTCGAATGTAGAATATTCATAGACAGTCCTAATGCATACTGAACGGATAACCTACACCTTAACTATTTGCAGCTTCTTAATACAATGGCAAGCAGTTAAGTTTTATAGACGAGGCATTCGCGTTTTCCATTTGGACCCACAAACTTGCTTAGTTGCAAGCACATAACAGTTATAGGGCGACGTGTTTCCATTTTCAAAGTGTTTGACAATATTTCAGGAGTCAAACATTTAAAAGATCCTTTGAAAGTTTAAGTTACCATTCTCGTGAAGAGCAGGTTGCACTGATGCACTCTGTTAGTGGAGGAGGGTGGGGCACGTGAACTGCAGCATCTCCAGCAGCACGGAGCTGCCCGTGGCCGCCTGTCTATAAATAACGGCGGGAAAAAAAAAAAACTATCGGCGAACGCGCAGCGGTGTATCGGCCGATTCCGATACACTTAAAACCCTCAAATATCGGCCCGATATATCGGCCGGCCGATATATCGGTCGATCACTAATTCTTAACTACACCGGACAAGCACACCGTAAATTACCAAGCCAACTACAGTATAAGCCGTGCGTTGATTTCACCATGGCACTATCAGAGCATTCCTCTGTTTGTTTCAATGAGCTCTATGTTACCTGGAGAAAGCCTTCCATGCAATTCATTCACCTCAATGGCAGTTGCTCGGCTGGCACACAACTCACAGTCTGACGTTTTTCTACATGGACACAGACATAGAAAATTCCATCATGGCAACGTTGATGCCGCCACAAGAACACACATAGTCCGAAATCCTTCATTAGCATCCTGAGCAGCGACGTAAACCAACAGGGACTAACCGGACCATGCTAACCCGCCAAACGGGTTAGTTTGAGCACCCTCACATAGAAAAAGACAGGACTACAGTGTTCGAGACGCGTCTGAAAACAGTCGTTGGGCAACATGAGCAGAAAACTCTCATAATTCTGAGATAATTAACTCATTAATTCAGAAAAACAGAGCAAAAACTTTTTTCCACAAAAAATTATTTTGTAATTCTGAGATAATTAACTCATTAATTCAGAAAAACAGAGCAAAATCTTTTTTCCACGAAAAATTATCTTGTAATTTTGAGATAATTAACTTGTTAATTCAGAAAAACAGAACAAAATCTTTTTTCCACGAAAAACTCTCATAATTCTGAGATAATTAACTCATTAATTCAGAAAAACAGAGCAAATCTTTTTTCCACGAAAAATTATCTTGTAATTCTGAGATAATTAAATTGATAATTCAGAAAAACAGAGCAAAATCTTTTTTCCACAAAAAACTATCTTGTAATTCTGAGATAATTAACTTGTTAATTCAGAAAAACAGAGCAAAAACTTTTTTCCACAAAAAATTATTTTGTAATTCTGAGATACTTCACTCGTTAATTCAGAAAAACAGAGCAAATATTTTTCCACGAAAAACTCTCATAATTCTGAGATAATTAACACATTAATTCAGAAAAACAGAGCAAAATCTCTTTTTCCATGAAAAATTATCTCGTAATTCTGAGATAATTAAATTGTTAATTAACTCGATATTTTTTTTTCTTCAAGTGAATGCAATACACTTCCATACATTTGAACATATTTTAATAATATATAATAAGTTATTTTAAATTCTAATAATATTATTTGAAAAATTTGAATTATTGCAAGCTTCTGCTTCTACAGTTTCCAACAAAATCTCCAGGTTTGGATGCCCAACTATACCAGAAGATTATTAAATGAGAGACTTGCTTTTGGGATGCAAATTTGCCATGGCAACAGACAACAAACATTTCCTTTGGGATGCTGCCGCCATGAACTCATGAGACTTTGGCAATCACGTGCGTTTGACCAGGAGAGCCGGCACACTTCTTTGACTCTGCTAAGCAAGTATCCCGTTGAGACATACTGACCTTTTTTTAATGAGTTTCAATGGACCAGAGACATGGAGGTTTTCTTTTTTGGTTGCAGAGACAGTTCAGTATTACAAATTCTGGACCAGAAACTCACACAAGCGTCTGTCCAGGGACATGCACAGACCACAAATATTTTCTCAAGGCTTTTGCTTGAGTCTAAATCACACTTATCCGGAATGCAGACAGTAGACGAGTTAATCAACTCTATGACACATTCTCTATATCAGGAAAGTTGAAAAAATGCGTAATATTCAGGCACTTTAGCCTGTGATGCTGTCAGTATATCGATTCTCTAAAGAAGCTTTGACTGGGTGCAGGACTAGCCAAAGGCAACCAAGTGTGTTTAGAAGAAATGACGTGATGGTGTTGGTGCATAAACTCACCCTCGGCTTCTCTGGGGCTCCAGTGGCCGGACGGGGAACAGGGGCGCGGGGACGAAGAATTGGAGGCGTACTGTAGAAGGACGTGACCCTCTGAACATTTATCACATACTGATCCCACTTCTCTAGGAAACCAACAGAGACAGACACAATGCAACTTAGATACAGCAGATTCAAGTAGATGGCAAGTTAGATGGGAATCTTCAATATGGGGCAAAAACTATTTCACTTTTCAAAAAACTTTTGCTGATAATTTACTCACCCCCATGTCATCCAAGATGTCCACGTCTTTCTTTCTTCAGTCGAAAAGAAATTAAAGTTTTTGATGAAAACATTCCAGGATTTTCTCCATATAATGGACTTCAATGGGGTCCAAACGGTTCAAGGTCCAAATGAGAGTTTCAGTGCAGCTTCAAAGGGCTTTAAACGACACCAGACGATGAATAAGGGTCTTATCAAGCGAAACGATCGGCCATTTAAAAAATAAATAAAAAAGTTTAAGTTTTATAAGCACAAATGCTCGCCTTGCTCTGTTCTGTGATGAGCGTCCGTGACTCAAACTCGTTCATCAAAATGAACAAATCTTTTTTCGAGTCATGATTCGAGGGGTCCTAGGTAAGACCCTTATTCACCGTCTGGTGTCGTTTAAAACCCTTTAAAGCTGCACTGAAACTCTCATTTGGACCTTGAACCGTTTGGACCCCATTGAAGTCCATTATATGGAGAAAATCCTGGCATGTTTTCATCAAAAACCTTAATTTCTTTTCGACTGAAGAAAAAAAGACATGGACATCTTGGATGACATGGGGGTGAGTAAATTATCAGCAAAAGTTTTTTTAAAAGTGAACTACTCCTTTAAGTGTATCTGCTGCTTTGAAACAATCTACATTGTTAAAAGCGCAATATAAATGAGGATGACTCGACTTGGTGACTGTTCACATATCAGCAATGACTCACTAAGCACTTTTAGTCAAATCTGGTTGCTTAAGCACTCAGACTGTGGTGTTAGAATGTCATATGGATACACAGTAAACAAAGTCACATGGTCCGAGTGGAGAGTTTCAGAGCGACATGTCTCGACATGCTCCTCTGAGGGGATTCCCATGCCGCTCGCCTTGGTGAATTCCACCTGTCTCTCACATAACGGTCCCTCGCGGACCCACAAATAAATGTTACTGACTGCATTCAGCTCTAAGGAAACTGGTGCAAAATAACAAAGAGACTCAACCCAACAAAGTTCCACAAGTCTGAGTCATGAAATGTGGATATCCAGGAGTTTTTGGACGGCAATGTGAACAATTCCACTGTATCTACGACACAGCCAGTTAAACACGGTTTAGAAATAGCGCTATTAATTGATAGCATGTGTTAGCGATTTGGCAGACGCTGAGAATTCTCAGTTATTTTGCACTTCTCACTGTACTCAAAAACTATTACAAAATGTCTCAGACTTCTCCTCTTTCAATATTTACTAAACAGAACATGCTTAGGCATGTCTCCTCTCTGCCTACGTCCACATTTATATTCCACGTCTTTTCATATATCAGATTGCATCTTCCCAGAGAGCACAACAAACGCCGATATATATATATATACATATATTTTAGGATATGTTCACCTGTCATAGAAGTGGCCAGAGATGGGCGGAAACCACTCTAAAGTAATGAAGTTTTGTCCCTGTTCTACCACTTGGGGTGCCATCGGGACTGGAGGGGTCCGGTAATCGGGTTGCCAGGTTTGGTAGATGAGGTCCAGATAGCAGTGCATGCGAGCCACCTGGTTAAGTGTAAAGGAATCAGTGCAGTCGTCATCTGGGGAAAAATGTGTAAGTTCAGATATTTTACATAGTTTCTGATAGCACACGGCACATGAAAAGGCATTCGTGTCGAGAAGATCAAAGAACAATGCTGTATAAATCCATCATTTTAATTTTTCACAGCTGGTATTTTCAAGATTTGTTATCACAACATATTTTCTTTTGTCAAATCAACTTTATAATAATTTATTTAGTTGAGATAACTTATTAATTTGAGTTTCTGATGATTAAATTAATCTCCTTCATTGTATTAACTCACTTTTTCCAGTTCGATCAACTTAAAATTTTAAGGCAACCCAGGTTACTTACTTTTTTAAGTTAAACCAACAAATTTTTTTACAGTGTAGCAATGTGACAAACTTGAGTAAAAAAGTTAATTCAAATGTCTTATAATGTCAAATATTACAAAAATAATAATTGCATTTGAAGAACTATTATACATTGAAATAAAGAGTGAAATACACTGTGCAACAAAAAAAAAACATATATATTTTTACAAAGATCCTCAGTCAATGAAGAGACTGTTTGAGATGAAATATGAGACATGTAATATGTTAAGAAAAATAACTTATTTATGTCTTTTACAAACAAGTTTTCAATTTTGCAAAAAGCATGCTATGCTAGCTATGATATTAGCATTAGTAAGGCTTTTTTTAACCCTTTACCTGTCACTCCCCTTTATGATAATTGACATTAAAATGCACTACACAAACTTAAATGGTTGTAATTCAAGAATGCGTTGGAATATAGACCTATTGATCTTGTTTTAAAGAAAACAATCAGCAGATTATTACTAGATTGAAAGCACTTCAAAAAATTAAACTATGAAAAAGTTATGGAAGTTATAATTTACAGTAAATCAAATATACTTTATTAATATATTTTTTCTAATATGAAATGTATATTTTACAAAATATGTTTTACTATAAAATTACTATAAAATGAAAGCTATATATCTAACCAAGTTTGAAGTTGATATCACAAAAATTGAAGTTCCCATGAGATTTTTTGTTTAGGCGTAGTACCAAAAATAGCCACCGGGTGCCATTGAATTCCATTGAATTTAATTGTATGCATTTTCCCATAACAAATTAATAAATTTCTATCCAAATATCACTTCTGTCACTAAATATGGAAACTTGAGACTCGGACCTTTCTGACAATATGTGTTTTGTCAAGATTAGAAAAGGTTTTCATAATAAATTATGAAAGATGATGCCCAAAAGGGGAGGGGCCTAATGAAAAAGCCCTTTTTCACTTCCCAAGGTGTCATATAGTGACGATTTTGACATTTCGTCTACATCCAACGCACATGGCACCCTTTAGCGTCAATATGAGACGCAAATATATATATGGGCCAGAAGGCGCCTCCTAGTGGTGTAAGCCTAAACCTACCATAACCGAACAAAGCTCAGTGCGTGTTATATTGACGCTAAAGGGTGCCATGTGCGTTGGATTTGGACGAAATTTCAAAAGTGTCACTATTTGACGCACTAGGATGAGAATGCGTTGGATATCCTCCAGAGCATCACCAGCATAGTACTTCATTGGCTTACTGTAAGTCTTGTCTTATGAAGACTTATAAAAGCATACAATCGTGTTAAACTTTCCATGAGAGAAGGTCATATTACTGGGGTGCCTCAAGGTTCAGTGCTTGGTCCGCTCCTTTTCTCATACACAAGCTCACTAACCATAAAGACACATCATATGCAAATAATACACAGTTCACCAGCTATTCCAACCTGACAGCCCTGCCCTCTCAGCTTAACTTTTTTTAGGCAAAATGTATAAAAATTATAAAAAAAATATAAAAAAAAAAAATAAAAAAATAAAAAAAAAATCGATAAACGCCCTATTTTTAGTGACTATATCTAAAATGCTAGTTTCAAAATGTATGGATTTAGTCTCTTTTTATTGTGCGCATCCCAGAAAACCCATTTAGTAGTTAAAGGGTTAGTTCACCCAAAAATGAAAATTAAGTCATTAATTACTCACCCCCATGCTGTACCAACCCCGTAAGACCTTCGTTCGTCTTCGGAACACAAATGAAGATATTTTTGATTAAATTTGAGAGCTGTATAACTACCACATTGGCTCCTAAAGGACTGCCTCTTGACGGCCCAGAAAGTCAATGAAGAAAATGTTTAAATATCCCAAGTGACTACCGTGGCTCAACTATATGTTTATCAAGCGACGCGAATACTTTTTGTGCGAAAAAACAAACAAAAATAACGAGTTTATTCGACTATTTCTTTTCTTCCTTGTAGGCCAGAACGAGACTTCCTTAGATTTCCACGACGCATGCGCGAGAATTGCGATCTGCTCACATCAGCTTACACCACTTCAGATCGCAATTCTCGCGCATGCGTTGTGGAAATCTAAGGAAGTCTCGTTCTGGCCTACAAGGAAGAAAAGAAATAGTCGAATAAACTCGTTATTTTTGTTTGTTTTTTCGCACAAAAAGTATTCGCGTCGCTTGATAAACATATAGTTGAGCCACGGTAGTCACTTGGGATATTTAAACATTTTCTTCATTGACTTTCTGGGCCGTCAAGAGGCAGTCCTTTAGGAGCCAATGTGGTAGTTATACAGCTCTCAAATTTAATCAAAAATATCTTCATTTGTGTTCCGAAGACGAACGAAGGTCTTACGGGGTTGGTACAGCATGGGGGTGAGTAATTAATGACTTAATTTTCATTTTTGGGTGAACTAACCCTTTAAGGAAATGAGAGTTTCGAACCAATAAGAAGTCACTAAGAAATCACACTGTTGTGGCGAAAAGTATTAAATATAACAGTATTTCAATCTGTTTACTATTTGGCTTTGTGATTTACTCAGACTGAGAAAGGAGAGTTTCCTTGTATTTGTTCTTACCTGCGTAACTCATGTAATTATTAAAGGGCGTGTGAACAAAGTTGCGGTTGCCGCACGTTTCGTTGCCAGGCTCGGGGTCCTTGCAGTGCTTGTATTTGGGTGTGGGGTTTGTGTCGGCACACAGATCTCCGGTTTCCAGCGAGGGCTCTGTCTCTAAACACGCATCGTTGCAGGACTCGATCTCTGAGATGCCTCTGAACACATGGTACAGTCCCAGACTGTGACCGATCTCATGGATCATGGTGTGAGTGTGGCCAAATGTACCATAGAAAGACGGATTCAGAACTATACCGCCTATGAAAAGAGAAGAAACACAGTGTAAACCCTGATGTGCTTGTACTTAAATACTCGTGCTTGTCTCTTGTAACAGTAGTTTATACAATATGATTTTAAATTAGAGCCAGACCGATATTATCGGCCGATATTAGGTATTTTCCAAACTAACGGTATCGGCAGTTATAATGGCCGATAAATTAATATTAATATATATAATAATAAAAACACGCTTGAACCATGTCATGAGTGTTGGAGTTGTATAGTTTGTCCACCAGAGGGCGCTCTTCTTATAAGAACATCCCCATCAGTTCTCTTAACTCAAATAAGCATGACAAAATTTGTGACTATCATGTCCAGTTTTGCTGTTAAATAAGCCGAGAGTGAAGCGAAACTAGCTAGTAATAGTTACGTTACGTTGTTACAGTGTAGTTGACCGACTGTCCTTTTAACATTTGACAATGTGACTGAAGTATTTCTTTAATAGTGCGTGACATTTATAGCAATGAGACGTATCATCTCTCCTTAGCCTGTTTTATTGAAAATTTATGTTTTACAATTTTCAGTATGACGTTATCTATTGCTAAATTATGGCTCATCATAGACTAGCTAACCACAAAGCTAGCTAATGCCACTGTCATCAGTCTGTTCTGTTGCGACAATAAAAGAAACTAGTTTTTTAACTATTATTTTAGTTAAAAGTCATAAATAACTACAAATAACTAATGTTAGAGAAATCTGTTAATTTTGTGTTGCGCGTTTCTGAAAAAAAAAAAATATCGGCCGATATATCGGAATATCGGATTTTAAAACCCAAAAATATTTGTATCGGTATCGGCCTTCAAAATCCTTTATCGGTCGGGCTCTTTTTTAAATACAAAGTATTTAGGTCAAACAAACTTAAAGTTGCTTGTATGTCATGTAAATGATATCCTTTGAAATATTAGACATTTGCATTGCGATATTATTGCCTATTCAATATTTGTAAGAAGTAATTTGAATGCTGTGTAAGTAATTGTAATCAGGGAGGACAAAAAGAGACAATTGGTAGCAATCAACTTGGCTTACAACGCTTTTGGGAAGCGCACCCCTGAACTGTGCACTTTCTTGCAGTGTATATGTAGCCGAAATGTACTTAAAGGAGAACTCCGGCGCAAAATGAACCTTTGGTCTAATTACACATTGTTACCTAGTCAACCGTTATCTGAGATTTGTTTTCATGATTGCCGAATGTAAATAGTTTTATCTCTAAAAACAGTTTAGCCTATAACGCTAGTATATGGGGCATAGAGTAATGACAAATAAAAATCGCTTGTTATTACCACTAAAAAGGCTCAAAATAGCCCCACACTAACACGACAGCATAACAAGGGTCCCTACATTCAAACCGAAGCATTGAGAACTTTGTCAGTGTCCAAACAGTTTAATAAGAAGATATTTTATACACACAGTCAACGTCGCGAATACAGGAAGAAGCCATCTTTGAAAAATAGTCTCAACCAGTCGATCTACGAACGCCGATCCAAGTGCGCTGGTGAGATGTGAATAAGGTGATCAGGTGAGCGCGAACAGTAGTCTACATGTACATATTGAAGAGAAGAAAATGGTTCGTGTTTGTGTTTCATCTGGAAACAACGGACCATATGAGATTCTGCACAGTTCAGCACACTTGGATCGGCGCTCGTAGATCGACTAGTAGAGACTATTTTTCAAAGATGGCTTCTTCCTGTATTCGCGAAGTTGACTGTGTGTATAAAATATCTTCTTATTAAACTGTTTGGACACTAACAAAGTTCTCAATGCTTCGGTTTGAATGTAGGGACCCTTGTTATGCTGTCGTGTTAGTGTGGGGCTATTTTGAGCCTTGTTAGTGGTAATAACAAGCGATTTTTATTTGTCATTACTCTATGCCCTATATACTAGCGTTATAGGCTAAACTGTTTTTAGAGATAAAACTATTTACATTCGGCAATCGTGAAAACAAATCTCAGATAACGGTTGACTAGGTAACAATGTGTCATTAGACCAAAGGTTCATTTTGCGTCGGAGTTCTCCTTTAAATTTTGAAAATTGTTTACACGACTTCCGTTGTTTACTTATTTCTTTACTCAAGGCCTCTATAAAAAAAATTAATTTATGGTCTTAATAGTAGGAACCACTGAAATGGTATAGGTATAGGAATAGATTGTGACAGTGATATTTTCAACATTAAATGAATTCAAACTCTTGACCTGAACTATGCTTATGTAGTAATTTCTCAGTACCTAGATGCGTCAGGGCCTCCTTGTCCCACGGCCAGGTAGCAACTCCAGCCAGGTCTTCATCTGAGGAATTGGCGAAGAAGATATTGAGGTGCGTTGAACCGTCCAGCTTGAGGATCTCTTTTAGCTCCTTCACATCCAGATAGGCCCTGGAGCCAGAGACGGAGATCGTTTATTTGGTCGATGCATCCACTGCTTATTTGACACTCATTATGACACATCTACATTTCCCACATTGCAAAGTGGCTGGAAAAAAAGCTAATCTTGGCCCTTGACTAAAAAAACCTTTCATTAGTGAAATTATCACTATAATTAGCATTACATTTCAAATCCTTTATCTGCAATGGCAATCAGCACTAAGTCTTGTTCTTTCATTAGCACTCTCTCTACTATGCCTGTGGAGAAGTTGTATAGACCATTTTGCAAGATGTAAACAACACTGGTCCAGAAACACTTCCTGTTTCAGTTTGTAACGGTTTTATTTATTTCACATGTAAAAAAAACATCTTAAAGATGTTTATTTAACTTTTGATTCAGTTTTATATGTTCTGTTGGTTGTATTTTATCCCAGCGTTTATGTAGTGTTAAAAAAATGAAACAGGAAGTGCTTCTGGACCAGTGTTGTTTACGTCTTGCAAAATTGTCTATAGCAACTTTTAAAGGAGTAGTTCACTTTTAAAAAAAAAACTTTTGCTGATAATTTACTCACCCCCATGTCATCCAAGATGTCCATGTCTTTTTTTCTTCAGTCGAAAAGAAATTAAGGTTTTTGATGAAAACATGCCAGGATTTTCTCCATATAATGGACTTCAATGGGGTCCAAACGGTTCAAGGTCCAAATGAGAGTTTCAGTGCAGCTTTAAAGGGTTTTAAACGACACCAGACGGTGAATAAGGGTCTTACCTAGGACCCCTCGAATCATGACTCGAAAAAAGATTTGTTCATTTTGATGAACGAGTTTGAGTCACGGACGCTCATCACAGAACAGAGCAAGGCGAGCATTTGTGCTTATAAAACTTAAACTTTGTTATTTATTTATTAAACGAGCGATCGTTTCGCTTGATAAGACCCTTATTCATCGTCTGGTGTCGTTTAAAGCCCTTTGAAGCTGCACTGAAACTCTCATTTGGACCTTGAACCGTTTAGTTCCCATTGAAGTCCGTTATATGGAGAAAATCCTGGAATGTTTTCATCAAAAACCTTAATTTCTTTTCGACTGAAGAAAGAAAGACATGGACATCTTGGATGACATCGGGGTGAGTAAATTATCAGCAAAAGTTTTTTTGTTTTTTTTTTTAAGCTAACTACTCCTTTAACATTGCTTTCAAGAATCCATTTAACCTTGTTCTCTGCTTTAATAGTCTGGTCCGCGTTAAGGTTTTAGCTTTAAGCTAGCAGAACAAACCATGTAAGTGTCTTTCCAGAGACAGGTGCTTTTATGAGTGTGTAGCTCCTTTAACTTAACATGCTAAGAGCTCGTTTTACACAAGAGCACTCCATTAGGGCTAAACCATTAACGTTATGTTGTGTTTATGGGCTTCATTGGCACTTAGAGTTCACACGACTGTAAAGCACCTGAGATGACCCATGCGACAGCTCAGAAACCCCATTGATCAATTAACCCAACACTCACAATAGCCATGGGGGGAGCATGGACGTCGAGACAGAGCCAAATGATAACGTAGGATCACCTTTTAGGACCAAAGCCATGGCAGACATTTTTCTACAACGTGACCCGAATCCAGGGATGAATTACTGGTGAGGATTCACTTTAGCTTAAGGTATATGCCGTCAGATCCGATCAGTGAGCTTGTGAAGGTAAAAACACAAATCCCTCTCTCTATAGTTTGCTTGCAATAACAATCCGGCACTGTATACATTCTTCAAACAGCATGGAGAAATAACTTAAAACACATGCCTAAAGTATGTTAGACAACTTAAGCAGATATCATTCACATTTTTCAGAGACTCCAACCCCGATGTCTCCCGTTAGCTAGATTTCCAAACAAGAAAAGTGGTAACAGGCTTCGGGTCTACAAAAATAAACCTCCGACCACACAGCCATTGTTGTGCCACGCATGTAGCGCAGTGTTCTTCCAGGATTCCACAATTAAGAGGGAATGTTGACGAATGTTCGCGGAGCAGCCATCAGTCTCTCTCCCTAGACGTCCCGTAATCAAAACCAAATAAACAACCACTTGGGGTGCTTATCTGAAAATTCTTCTTCTGCTTCTTCTCACTCTAATCTTTCTAAACCATCTTTCATCCATCAGTTGCAATATTTCCATTGAATGCTCGGGATTGGCCAACCGCTGATTTCTGCTCAAAACAGCCTCTCGATGATTGCGATGGGATAATATTTGGGAAAACCACCTGTGTGTTTTTTTGTGACTGATGTCACCTCGTAGCCCGCACACGGAGTCATTTAAAGAGCTTCAGGAATACCGTTGGATGCGATTCCGCGGCCTGGAAAGCCTTCAAAACGGCTAATAGAAAACATCGCTTTCGCTCGAACGAGAAGCTAAATTAAGGCGTGACGAAATTCGAGGACAGTACACTCTTAGAAAAAAAAGGTACAAAAGCTGCCTGTCACTGTGGCTGTACCGTTTCAAAAGTACCTAAAGGTTGCATATTGGTACCTTAATGGTACATATTAGCACCTAAAATGAATATAATAGCACCTAAAATGTACATATTAACACCTAAATGTCCATATTAGCACCTAAAATGTCCATATTAGCACCTAAATGTCCATAATAGCACCTAAAATGTACATTTAAGCACCTAAATGTCCATATTAGCACCTAAATGTCCATATTAGCACCTAAAATGTACATATTAGCACCTAAAATGTACATATTAGCACCTAAAATGTCCATATTAGCACCTTAATGTCCATATTAGCACCTAAAATGTCCATATTAGCACCTTAATGTCCATATTAGCAGCTAAAATGGCCATATTAGCACCTAAATGTCAATATTAGCACCTTAATACATAATAGCAGGTCTAAATGTCAATATTAGCACCTAAATGTACATAATAGCACCTAAATGTCCATATTAGCACCTAAAATGTACATAATAGCACCTAAAATGTACATATTAGCACCTAAATGTCCATATTAGCACCTAAAATGTCCATATTAGCACCTTAATGTCCATATTAGCAGCTAAAATGGCCATATTAGCACCTAAATGTCAATATTAGCACCTTAAATATCCATAATAGCACCTAAATGTCCATATTGGCACCTAAATGTCCATATTAGCACCTAAAATGTCCATATTAGCACCATAATAGCACCTAAATGTCCATAATAGCACCTAAAATGTCCATATTAGCACCTTAATGTACATATTAGCACCTAAATGTCCATATTAGCACCTAAAATGTACATATTAGCACCTAAATGTCCATATTAGCACCTAAAATGTCCATATTAGCAGCTAAAATGGCCATATTAGCACCTAAATGTCCATATTAGCACCTTAAATGTCCATATTAGCACCTAAATGTCCATATTAGCACCTAAAATGTCCATATTAGCACCTAAATGTCCATATTAGCACCATAATAGCACCTAAATGTCCATAGCACCTAAAATGTCCATAATAGCACCTTAATGTACATATTAGCACCAAAATGTCCATATTAGCACCTAAAATGTACATATTAGCACCTAAATGTCCATAATAGCGCCTAAAATGTACATGTGCCCCAGTGACGGCTTTTGTACCTTTTTTCTGAGAGCGTACTGGAATATGTGGATGATTCATACAGACCAAAACAAAGATGTAAAAGGTAGTTTTCACTTATCGATTCATTCACTATTTTCTCACAACGTGGAGTGTTTAAACTTTTCCCATGAAGCTGCGTGCACTTCTGTAAACAATCGTTTATGACTACAATTTGAAAACAAAATAGTTGCTTGGAGACCCTTCTAAACAAGAAATAAGCTTCCTTGAAATTGTGGTTTCTACTTTGTAGTCCATCCTAAAACACATCTCATAGCTTTGTAGTCCAATAAATCCTCTTTAAAACACATCTCATAGCTTTTGGATTACTACATGTGTCCTTGGGCTACACCTGTTTTTTGAAACAAATGAACACTGCTACCATTCACATAGAGCAAAAGTTAAACCAGACCATCTACATTCTGCTGGAATTGTAAACATGTTGTCTCTTTCGATCCAGTGGCCTCAGGTACTCAGACTTAGAAATCCAATTTCCTCGGATCATTTTTTTTTTCTTTTGGCGAAAATAGTGGCGTTTAAAACTTGGAGCAAACCATCATACAACGGACTAGACAAAATCCTTGATGAAAACATTTTTGCTCATGGAGGGAATATCCAACTGTAATAAATGAAGAGTTGTGAGAGTTTGCAGATTACTTAGACCAGTGCTCCTCGTCTCCGTCATCTAACATACCTGATTCGACTCATTGAGACTTCAAGATTGAACTGTGGTTGATCAATGATTTTTGAAAAACACTGGCCGTCATTCAGTGTTGTAGTCGAGACCACCTCACTCGAGTCCGAGTCGACACCGAGACCAGAGAGAGTCGAGTCCGAGTCAAGACCGAGTCCATTGAGAGTCGAGTCCGAGTCGAGTCCGAGACCAGTGAGGGTTGATTACCTAATTTACTTTTATTTACTTAGAGAAATCCTTTTTTTTTTTTTTTACTGAATTTACTTAGAGTTTAAAAAATATGATCAGTTTAGGGTAAAAAGGCCACATAGTAGGTGGTGTTAAAAGTAATTTTATTACAATTTGTCATGCGCAGTTGTGCACTAGAAAATCACCAATCACTGGGCGTGTCAATCAATTTAAAGAAATATTTTATTAACATACATTAATAATCATGAAAAATATTTTTAATTGAACTCGAGAGAAAAAAAAAAAATCTTCCAGTACGAGTCAATTCCGAGTCCAAATGGACACGAGTCCATGACAAGACCAAGACCATTAAAATATGGTCTCGAGACCGAGTCCGAGACGAGTCCGAGTCTCGAGTACTACAACACTGGCCGTCATTTTCGAGTAATCCTGAAGACATTTATTAGCAGGTTCAGGTGTGTTTGATTAGGGTTGGAGCCAAACTCAAGTGACCAAGAGAGACATGACCACTATTCATACATTCTCCCTTTCAATAAACTTTTAATGCTACTGAAGTGTGGTTACACTCAATCCCACAGCAGACACGCCCCTTCAAACAGAGCGTTCAAAGCAGAGGCTAAAATCAAGGAAAAATGCCTTTTATTACTAAATTATGACTATTTTTAATCTAATCTACCCAGGAAACATTATAAAATAATAAAATAACCCCATGTCAGGGGACCTTTAACCTAAGTCAAGTTGCTTTCATTTGTATAGTGCTTTCTACAATATACATTGTTTCGAAGCAAACCACACAGAAAGGACTTGAAATCAAATAAATGTAAAATGAAAGCCCTTTATCTGCCCTCTTCACTCACCCCAACCAATGTCTTTGTGACTCTGTGACAATATGGCCACCATGTCCCCATCCTCAGGATAATGCACCACGTCACAAAGCTCGAGTCATTTCAAAGTGGTTTCTTGAACATGTCAATGAGTTGACTGTACTAAAATGGCCGCCACAGTCACCAGATCTCAACCCAATAGAGCATCTTTGGGATGTGGTGGAACGGGAGCTTCTAGTAACCTGACTCGCGCAGAGGGAGAAATAAACGAATAGTTGAAATAAAGTCGTTATTTTTGTTGTTTTTGCGCACAAAAAGTGTTCTCGTCGTTTGATAAAGTTAAGATTGAGCCCCTGTAGTCACTTGGACTATTTTAACGATGTCTTTAATGACTTTGAGGACAGCAAGAGTCATTCCCTCAAGAAGCCTATGGACTAGTATGCAGGAGCGATCTTAATATCTTAAATATCTTAATTTGAAGGTCTTACGGGGTTGGAACAACATGAGGGTGAGTAAATACTGACAGAATTTTTATTTTTGGGTGAACTAACCCTTTAACCTAAGTCAAGTTGCTTTCATTTGTATAGTGCTTTCTACAATATACATTGTTTCGAAGCAAACCACACAGAATGGACTTGAAATCAAATAAAAAACATTCAAATAAATGTAAAATGAAAGCCCTTTATCTGCCCACTTCTTCACTCACCCCAACCAATGTCTTTGTGACTCTATGACAATATGGCCACCATGTCCCCATCCTCAGGATAATGCACCACGTCACAAAGCTCGAGTCATTTCAAATTGGTTTCTTGACCACGTCAATGAGTTGACTGTACTAAAATGGCCGCCACAATCACCAGATCTCAACCCAATAGAGCATCTTTGGGATGTGGTGGAACGGGAGCGTCGATCCCACAAATCTCCATCAACTGCAAGATGCGATCCTATCAATATGGGCCAACATTTCTAAAGAACGCTTTCAGCACCTTGTTGAATCAATGCCACAAGGGGTCAAACACAGTATTAGTATGGTGCTCCTAATAATCCTTTAGGTGAGTGTACATTGTTTCGAAGCAAACCACACAGAAAGGACTTGAAATCAAATAAATGTACAACGAAAGCCCTTTTCTTCACTCACCCCAACCAATGTCTTTGTGACCACATTTGAATTATCTTACTAAACAAGTTGGCGTCATAAATCACCTTACCTTAAATGAGAAGCTGGATTGAAGCAGGTCTTGGTCACATTGGTGATGCTAGGGTTACAGCAATCTCCATTATCGTAACCGTAGTTCTCACAGTTGCACTCTGGATCGCAGACACCGTTTCCCTGTTTGTGTTCAGGGCATCGCGTCCTGGGCTTGCAGTAACCGGCATCAAAGCCGGTCAGGGTGTGGTTGCATTCAGGGTCACAATCCTCATCGCCCACCTTGCTGATGTCACAGTTGGCGAGCACCAGGCGGTTATACAGAGAGGAATTGCTGACGTTGTGCACAGTCAACTCCCAGCTGATGTTGTACATGCTAAAGGCTTCATTCAGATGCTGATGCTGCAGGTGAATCTGTTGATCTGTGACCGTGGGTTTGCGCTGGGAGTCGTCGAACACGTTCACGACGCGGTACCGTACCGTTTTGGGGCGACGGAAGCTCCAGAAGTGATTGTAGTTGCGCACCACTTCGGTGTTATCGCACACCGTCTGTCCGCAGGCCGGAGGCTCCAGGGTGGTGTCCAAAGACCACAGCCCAGCACGAGAGCCCTCATCGGGGATCGGGAAACTGCCGTCCTTCACTGCCAGCCATTTGCGCGCTGGGTGTTCAAAGGTCTCGCGGATCACCAGGTCGACCAGGTCCTCGGGGTCCTCTTGTCCATGCATGTCCCTCATGATCTGCCTCTGAGAGAGAGCCTGTCGCCACAAACCGACACGCTCCACGGAGCCTCTGTAGTTGTGATTCAAGGCATTTCCACCCACCATCAGCACCTTGAGTTTTAGATCAGAACACTTGTAACTTGTATTTGCGTACAGTACGTGCATTATGTAAGATCTGGCGAGGTGAAGAGTGTAACTGTTTTCTGATAAATATCTCCAGTGTTAAAGTCCCCGTGAACCGGAAGTTGCAAACGATTTTTCTCCAGCGCTGTGACGTATTTCCAAGTGAAACGGAATATTGAACAGAGGGCAGGGTTTTACTCTAGCGCTCCTCCTCTCCATCTCTCGCTCATAGCACACTAACGGTTTGAGGGGAGTGGTTAAGCGTTTCCCCACCCAAACTGTGAAACCTACGTCATCAGAAAAAGAAACCGTTCCAGACCGGAAGTAACTTTTCAGATTTTGATTAAAGATTACTAAGGTAAAACATTTTTTTAATATATATTCACTTGCACGGATTAATTGTTCACCACAAGACTAGTAATATGCGCTAACAAAGTAAATAGGTTCAATTTTGATTTCACGGGGACTTTAAAGCTGCACTGTGTGATTTTTACCCCCCATCTAGTGGTGAAAAGGTATATGACCATCCAGTGAATATTAGTTTCTGTTCCTCTCAATTCCCATTTTTATGTATTATTATTGCATTATTGTCCGACTGGAAATGAACACCGTTACTGAGAGTTTCGGATATTCCGTAAGAGGAAATTGTCCTGAGAGACTGAGCGCGTGCTCATGAAGCTCCGCCCCCTTGGGCCGGCAGCAACAGAAGCTCATTTGCATTTAAAGGGCACACACTATGGCGCGTTTTTCTGATTCCCAAAAAAATGAAAATTTAAACGTGCTGTAAAAAATGATCTGTTGGGTATTTTGAGCAGGAACTTCACATGAAGAGTTCAGATGCAAAAGCCTCTAAATGCCATTTGAAATTTTCTTCTAGAATGATGATTTTTATCAAACTTGTATATTTAAGTTCGGTAATTTCACTTAAATGGCAATGATAATTACCTATTAATTGTTATTTAAGTGAAATCACTGAACTTAAATATACAAGCTTGATAAAAATCATCATTCTAGAAGAAAATTTCAAATGGAATTTAGAGGCTTTTGCATCTGAACTCTTCACATACACATTCTGTGGACATCAGAGACTTATTTTACATCTTGTGAAAAGGGGCATAATACGGTCGGGACCTTTAACTTTTTTTTGCGCTACTCATCGGATGTGTCATTTCCAAACAGCCAATTGGATAAAATTGAATGCATATGTAATGCAACTCATTGGAAATGTCATGAAACGTGCAAGAAGCAAAGTTATATTTAGCAGAAATGTTGCCACAGACAATGAGCCTGGTTGGAAACCTATTTTTGATTCACCAAGAGAAACAGAAATTACACACTTCACCGTTAACTAATTACAAACATGTATATTTTTGTGCGACTCTCCAAGATATTGTGCAAAAAGTTAAATTCTGATAGAATTAAACTTACCTTACACTTTTTAGTAAGGGGGCTGAAGACATCACCTGACTGTTCCCTGCTAACAGCAGTCTGAGCACCATTGACATATAACTTCATATAGAGGCCATCGTAAGTCACAGCCACGTGTGCCCAGCGGCTGGGCAAGTAGCGGGCATTCGACTCAATGGAGGTAACTTTGTGTGCCCGATCCGTCTTAAGGGAGAAGAAGAAGCGAGGGTCGCGGTTTCCTTGCTCACTCACGGCTTTAATTCCCAACAGCCATCCACGGTCACTGGAGGCATAGAAGCATTTGTCGAAGAGACCTATGGTTGAGAACGTACAAGAACGAATGCATCAGGAAGGAGTCAGGAGACAACAGTGGTGGAATGTAACGAAGTACTAATACTTTGTTACTTTACTTAAGTACATTTTTCATGTATCTTTCCTTTACTTAAGTAGAATAAATAGTGCATACTTTTTACTTTTACTTCGTTACATTTTGCAGCAATTATTATACATTCTACTCCACTACATTTCTACAACTTCTGCTACATTTTCTGATGAGTTTTTCCCCGGCCAAAACGTAATCTGACCGTCCGTTCGTTGCACGTTTGTCTCACCAGTGACGTTTGGTTGCCATAGATACATCAACTAAATGTGTGTTTATCATGCAATTTATACGCGAAAATTGTTTTTTATGTGCATAGAAAACACACCGTGTGTAATATACGTTTGGTTAGGATTATGGCCAAGAGGTTCAGAATTACACCATAAATTAATCGCGTTTACTGCCATAGTTCTTAACATATAGTAAGGATAAGCATGGTTTATATTGCCTAATTGCAAGCTTGTTTCAGAAATGGTGACAACATTTTTTTTCCATCATTCTTGAACATCGTTATAGGAGTATTAGGTTGAATGAGTTTGAATTAAATGTTTTATTAATCATTAGAAAATAATAATTAAGAGAATCAATTATTATGCAAGTACGTTTACTTTTAATACTTAAAGTACATTTAAAATCAGGTACTTTTTACTTTTTACTTAAGTATGGTCGTCATTGTGTTACTTCTACTTTTACTAAAGTAAATATTTATCTGGTTATTTGTACTTTTACTTAAGTACTGAGATTCAGTACTTCCACCACCACTGGGAGACAATAATGCAAAATTTGCTTTGAGTAGATGAGGAAGGGATGGGATCAGGAAATGACATGAACCTGCATAAAGGCGCCACTGAATGCACCCAAAAACAAGAATTAGTAGTGTGTACAATTCAGGCTGTTGCTGTTTTGGGGTCAGTCCAAGATGGCACAATTAAATATTATCATGGGTTGGGGATTTTGGTGGTTAAATGCTTTAACCAAGTTGGTAACACTTTACCTGAAGGGGTGTGCAATGCATAAGACTCCTTAATAACCATGACATGACAGTCGAAAAGAAATGAAGGTTTTTGATGAAAACATTCCAGGATTTTCTCCATATAACGGACTTCAATGGGAACTAAACGGTTCAAGGTCCAAATGAGAGTTTCAGTGCAGCTTCAAAGGGCTTTAAACGACACCAGACGATGAATAAGGGTCTTATCAAGCGAAACGATCGCTCGTTTAATAAATAAATAACAAAGTTTAAGTTTTATAAGCACAAATGCTCGCCTTGCTCTGTTCTGTGATGCGCGTTCGTGACTCTCCTGTTCATCAAAATGAACAAATCTTTTTTCGTGTTATTTGGTTCATTCAACGAACGAAATGAACGAAGTTGACTCGGGAAAAGATTTGTTCATTTTGATAAACGAGTTCAAACAGGAGAGTCACGGACGCTCATCACAGAAGAGAGCAAGGCGAGCATTTGAGCTTATAAAACTTGTTTTTTTTTAAATGAGCGATCGTTTCACTTGATAAGACCCTTATTCATCGTCTGGAATCGTTTAAAGCCCTTTGAACAGTTTGCAGTTTGCACTGAAACTCTCATTTGGACCTTGAACCGTTTGGACCCCATTGAAGTCCATTATATGGAGAAAAATCCTGGAACGTTTTCATCAAAAACCTTAATTTCTTTTCGACTGAAGAAAGAAAGACACGGACATCTTGGATGACATGGGGGTGAGTAAATTATCAGCAAAAGTTTTTTTTAAAGTGAACTACTCCTTTAATGTAATGTTAACCCATAAAGCTCGGTGGTTTCTTAAGTTTGATCATTAATCTGCTATGTCATGTTTATAGACAGGTTATGTTGTCCTAAGGTGTCATAACAAAGACATCTCAAACAATGTCATATTTGCATTCAAAATATCATTACTGAGTGAAAGACACTTAATTCATAAACATGCATAAACCCTACTTCATATTCAAGACATATGTCAAGTCATGGTTATGAAGGTGTCATATGCACACCCTTCAAGTAAAGCATTACCCACAAGTTTACATAACAAAAAAGTGCAGTCTAGTATGCATAAATCCTCCTTTGATGTCCCCTAACCGGTCAAGCGTGCAATGTATCTCAGATCTGATCTGCTGTGCAAGTCAATTTTGTATCTCATCATCATGGAAGATCAGTGTCAGCTAAGCACTTTTTCTTGCTCTCACACCGATCTAACATGTTGAACCGTTCGAGACACTCGCTTTTGTTCAAATTAAGACAATGTGTTTTTTCTGTACGCTTCCCAACTCAACAATATAAACAAGTCCGGTGATGTCCGTCTCAGGTACACTGCTGAGTGTAAATACTGTTCATGGTCTATATAGAGAGCACTCAGACACAAACTCAGCGCTGTTCGGGGTGCTGAACTTACTGGCGTTAGGACATTTAGAAGCGCTTTGTGGAGATGAATTTTGTGTTGTTTCCTACATCAAATGCTGTCAAATACTCAAATTGTCAAATCAGCAGCCTCGTTCCACACACTCTTCAATCGTCTGCATTATAGATTGAAAACATGACTCAAAAAAAACAAAACTAGACAATAACAACGTCTTGACATTAAGACTAACGCTGCGTAAAAACAACAACAAGAACAATGATTGGTCTCCTCAAAACAAGTGCCTTATGAGGCATGAAATAGATTTAAAAGATTAAGCAGGACTACATAAGCCAGAGTCCACTTCAATCACTTCTTTTTGTTTTGTTTGTTTGTTTGTTTTTGTTCTTTTTAATATCCTAACACAACAGATATTCACTGACAATGGTTCTTCAAATACCTTGAATTATATATATATTTTTTAAGGAATTTATTGGGTAGCAGCCAGAGTTCAATGCATATCTATACGAGTCAAAACATCATAATGCATGGATTTATGTAGTCCATATTTAATTCCATCCACATAAAAAATCCATCATCATTAATTTTAATTTTTATTCTATTCATTCATTTAAGTTTCGTTTATGGAATGGTCTTATTTTTTTGCTGCGTCAATTTAAAAAGCTGTGTGTTTAAATGTAAAATATGATAATCATTTTCTCACTATCATGTCATTCCCGACACAAAGAAAGATATTTTCAAAAATGTTAGTAATGGTGCCCAATATTAACCCTTTAATAGGCTGATTTTGACGGTCCATGTTATAACAGCATGATTTGAAAACACATCTTGTGCAGAAGCGACGAAATCTGACCTTTAAAAAAATATTTCACATGGTCAATCAATGTCATAAATATGCTTAGTGAGAGCTTGTTGAAATCAGTGAACGTAGTGCAGAGTCTTAACTTACGCAAAGAAAAGTCTTGATTTTTCACAGGTGTTGTAAATGACACATTGCATTAGGGTTGAAGGTCATTAAGATGCTGGTAATGATCTGTTTTTCTATAGATTTGTTTAATGTCATAACTCGTAATTTTTAAATCCTTAAAATGAAAAATCACAAATATTGAATGTGATGTCAGACTTTCGTATTACATTTTGATTATGTCACAGACTCACAGTACAGCATCATCATGCATGCATTCATTTATGGATCGGATACATGCGCGCGCACAGCTAATACTGTGCTGGTCAGGCTTTCAGTCCAATGCAAACCCATTGCAACCCTGAAACAGATGATGTCATCCCATCTCAGTGGTGGGGGGGGTGCATTGACATCAGAAGCCCCGCTTAAATCAGTGATGCCCACTGCCGGATTACTGGTGGATTCTCACTCTGGTCTTTCTAGTCGTGCGTGACAGCGTTAGAAAAAGAAGCTCACGTCTAGCAGCCAGCATTTCATTCTGCTCATGACTTTCAGAAAAAGACTAGTTTTGTGTCTTTACGCTCTCTGTCGGCGGAAAGCGGAATCGGAAGCGGTGGATGGTGTAATGCTTACTCACTGAAAAACCCGCGTCAACGTACAGAACAGTAGTGGTCTTTGTTTGCAAACTGTGTGCATTGTGAATCTGCGGCTATACTGGATGCGAACGTAAATGCAATGCAATGCGATTTGGTCATTTGCGCGCACTTTTCTCATGTGTTTCCCTCCGAGCTAAATGGAGGTGGGGGGTTGGGGGGGATTTGGGGTCTTTCATGGATTCGAGGGTCGTGCGCGTAAACCCGGTGCCTCTTCGCGCGCGCGCGCTCGCTCAGATCTAAAACAGCAAACCCAAGCTACACAATTGCCCTGACTCGTTAGCTAATATTAGTTAAAGTGCATGTGGAATATATCTGCGTTAATCTGATTGATCATCCATCTGGATGTTATCTGGAAGTTACTGTCAAAGTCACCCGGTCATGCATTCTTCCACCAACATTCAAACTCACGTAAAATGCATAAATCTGTTCCTACCAGCTATAACGGTAGGGGAACGCTGCCCACCCTCCGCTTTGACCCACATCTGGAGGGTGAAATTGCCCTTTGGTATCTCCACGCCGGGCTTGAGTCTCAGCTGGTCCCCTCTGCCCGTGAAATACACGGCTTTCCCCCGAGAGGAGCTCGCATCCTCCGCCGGAGAGGAGCGGCCGCGGTGGCGGGGGAGCCGGCGGTCCAGCGCCGGCAAAGAGCGCTTGCCCCGGGGCAGCCGAGTGGCACAAGCCCCCGGGAAGACCGCTTTGGCTTCTCTGATCTTCACCAGCTCGCGTTTAGATCGGGTCTTTCTCAGGACCGTCCCGCAGTCTGATCCCACACACAGGACGAGCAGGATGGCGAGACACTGGAGAAAAGTCCAAACTTTCATTTTATTCAAAACTAGAGAGATGATGGCCAGATAATTGCGCACGGACGCACTCTTCCTCTCCAAAGTCCTTCCACTTGTAATTGTTGTTTTCTGGTTTCTTTCACAATCTTTTGTCAAAGACGAATGTTCCAGATACACAAATCCATGAAGCTCTTCTAGCTTTTCTTTTTACTCCTTCTGCAGGCAAAAGTGAGTCTTCTTTTTTAGTTCATTCACTAATCAATGAATAAAGAGCTTCATTCACACTCTGTGAACTTCTGTCTCTCTCTCTCTCTCTCTACGCGCAAAACAATGTTTAAGAACAATTCATGAGCGCGGAACACGTCCAGACATGACGGGCTGTCATATCTGAGGATGGAGCACATGCAGAAGTTGAAGTTGAAGTCAGTGAGAGGGTCTGCAGGAGGTCCGGAGGTGTCCAGAGCATCGCGGATCTCAGCTCATGTGTGCTGTGAGCTCTGGTGGGGATCCTTCAGTCTTTTAAGAGTGAGACTGTGATGGAAGCAGACCAGCCCATGTTTCGGTCCTACATGAGTTTCTCTCCTTGCGATCCTCCTCTCGTGAAGTGCTGAAGTCACAGGTAAAGCACTGACGGCAGGAGCGTTTACACACATGCTCCTCCAAGAGTGTTGGATAGTGTTTCCAGAGTTGGAAAGGGGCGTGTGTGTGCGCGCGCACGCGCGCGCGTGTGAGTGTGTGTCCCTCTAGTGGTTACAATTCAAACAATTTCATTCATTTGAAAGTTTTCGAGATGCAAGAGAGTCGCACTGGATCACTTGTACAGAAGCCCTGCAAAAAAATAAAAATAAATAAAAAATAAATAAATAATAAATAAATAAAATAAATGATATTAACTTATTTGGTCTATTCTGAATAAAACCAGTTACATGTGAAGTTTGTTTTTAGTGTGTGTTACCTGAAAATGTTATTATACCTGGAATCAAAATAGACTAGAAATATAATTTACGGTAATACATTACAATTTGGCTAAATCTGTTGACATTAGATACACTGTAAAAATGAATATGCTTTATCTAGTCAATAGAATTGGATTACAAGCAATGTTATTAATTAAATTAAAAAAATTAGAATTGAGTAAAATTATTCTTTAAAAGTTAACCATTTAAACTGAGTAAAGTTCACACCAAAAAATTTAACAAAATATCTCACTAACAGGCGGATGTCAAAGATTAATTAAGAATTCTTTATTTATTTTAAAACCATAATTTTAACAAACACCGATCACCATAATGGTGACTTCAATTTATGTTTTTTTTTTTTGGTTGTAAATTTTACTCATTTTAAATGGTTAACTTTTAAGGAATTAATTTGATTAATTATTACTCAATTCTAATTTGTTAATTTTGCTTGTAATCTGTTGCCACAATTTTTTGATTAGATAAAGCATATTCATTTTTACAGTGTACATTAGTTACTATAATGAATTGCAAATACAATTTCTAAATAGCATAAACAAAGTTTAATAATGACAGTTAGTGCTTTACAATAATTGGACTTTATTGTAAAGCGTTGATTATGATATCTCAGTATAGCGTAACACTTTATTTTACAATGTCCTTGTTAGATGTACTTACCATCATCAAACTAACCATCAATCAAACCCTAATGCTAATGCTGTTAATTATTATTACTCAGTGCTACACTAACAATGACACCTTAAAATAAAGTGTAACCATTATCATGTGAAGGCACTGTAACGTGTGACTGGACGTGAAGACTTGACGTTTGCACGCAGCCGTCGAAAAGAGGAACAAATATGACGTGAGAAAGGGATGGAGAAGGACAAAGGCTAGGAATTTGGGCTATTCTGCATAAATTGTTGGCGAGTTGATTTCCTCAGTTCTTTGAGGTGGTCCACCTTTGTATGGCAGACCATCTGTGTGGAGCGTGGAGACAGAGCTGGTGTGGAATGCCACAAGAGCTTTTGTTCTCTGTTTGTTTGGTGTAAACGAACACGCAGACAGCAGAAAATTGCTACCTACCATTAAACGGGGCCAAACCAATGTTAAATATTTGTCTCAGTTTTGTCACATTGCAGTGGTGAGACCACTTCTTTCTTTCTCTCTTTTTTCCCTTTGTCCAGACAGAACAGAAGAATGGCACGGGTCTCAGCGGTCAGCTCACCCCGACTGATCTTCACAGGAAGCCTCCACACTAAAGTTTGGGGCAAAACTTCATAATTCACTCTAAAAAACTAAATTTTAACACAAATGTGCAGGTCTAGTATGGACAAAGCCAACCATTGGGTTACAATTTTAATTTAAAAACAACTGACCAAAAAAAAATCATTAATTAAATAGGGTAAATTTAACCCAACACTCTTAGAAGAAAAGGTTCTATATAGAACCGTAAAAGGTTCTATCAGCGCTACATATTTGGAACCCCTAAAAGGTTCTATACACTCTTAAAAAAATGTTCCTCTGGGTTCTATGAACCCTGGGGTTCCATACTTGGCCAATAGAACCTTTTACCAAAAAAAAAAAAATGGTTCTATATAGAACCATTTTGGAGTTCCATATATAAAGCGGGGGATGGAACCATTTCTGGTTCTAAATAGAACCATTTCTTCTAAGCGTGAATGGGTGGGTTTTATCCATATTTGACCCATGCAGACATTTTTGGTGAGTGTTGCTCAAATCAAAAATGTCATTAAACTTTCAACACACTGCAAACAAATAATAATGATAATGTCCTCAATCAGTATTTTAATGGCTAAACTTGCTTAACCCTTTAACTGACTTCTCAACCAAACGGTTGAGCACATTTTGAGTCACTATATTTTATTGAGAGGAGTACCTAACTTAATTCTTAACTTAACCTAACTAATCATCTGGTTGAGGTACATTATGGCAAAAAAAAAATCCACTAGATTTCACAGTGTCCATCAACAGCACTGGTCACAACACTTCTACTAACATGGATGTCAGAAACAAATGTGAAAAAAAAAATGGTTTTGGTGAAATTTTGCAAGCTAAGCATTTTTTTTTACATTTTACACTGTAAGAGCCTTAACTTTACAAAATGATGTTACTTGGTGCTATGAAAAAACGTAAGTATATTTTTAATAGTTTTTCAAAAACATGCTCAACCAAACGGTTGATTTGGCACATAACGGTTATCTTTTTGAGAATGGACATTACAATGCACTATTAAAACTTGGTTGTAATTGGAATAAAGACCTAAGTTTAGTCTTGATTTAAAGAAAACACTGCTGATTATTGCTGAAGTAAAAAAAAAAAAGTTTCCATCACTTTTTTCTTGGTGCGACTTCAAATATGACATTCAGCCCAATTGCGTATTCAGACCGTTTTAGGATCATACATCTTTAATGAAGTTTGGAAGAAAAAAAATTCTATAGTTTTAAGCAAAACAACGTTTGAAAAGGTGTATTCTTACAAACTGTAAAGAAAAAAAAATGAAGATTTAGTACCTATTTTTAAGGGTATTCAGATATTCTTAACTGGAAAACAAGACAAAAAACACTTTTTTTGAACAGATCTGATCTTACTGACTTACTTCCATGAGGGGGTTTGGCATCACGACTAGAATTCAACCAATCAGAAGGCGACTTTGAAACTTCCAAAGTGTTTAAAATTTGCGCATATGCATCAGAAGTTCAGCCAATGATCGGTGGGTGTGCGGCCGATACTACTTTAAACACAACCCATTGGCCCAGTTACGGCTTGTTCATACCAAGAACGATAACTATGAAAACGATAAAGATATAGGCCTAGTTGTAAAAATAATTCTATTCGTTTAAAAATAAAAATAGCAAAGTCCACTATAACGTCACAGAGGATCTCGTTAGAATCACTAAAATATATGTTTGCTGCTGATAAACAACAACAACATTGACAGCCAATCAGAATCCAAGCTCAGCGTTTAATGGCAGACGACAAACTGCAGCATAATAAACAGAACGTTTTTGTGTGTCGGTGTGTATAAAGTCATCATTGGTTATCTTTAGGTATCATTCTTGGTGTGAACAGGAAGGACAAACGTAGCCTACATGTGCACGAAAAACGTAAAATACGTACCAATACGTAGGCTACATATCCCTGCAGTTCAGTTATCAGTTGCGATTAACAAGAGTTCACAAACAAGCTAAAACGCCATGATAACGATTCCGTTTTCGATTGCGATTTCGGTAACGCTTTAAATTACGACCCGCAAACAACTGCGCAAGTAAACCGAAATTACAGTGTATGTTTACGTAATTATAGTGTACTTCCGTGTAGGTATGAGGGAACAATATGTCAAGTTTTGGGTAATAAAGGGGTAACAAGCAGATATAGAAGCAAATCATTTATAATGTAATTATTTTAAAACTAACAGATACCTATTCTGTTTTGTACGCATTTTGGCAAAAATTGTACATCTGATCTGTTGTCGCATATATAAAGTTTTTATCACATTTCTGGCAAAATATGTTCTTAGTTACACGGTAATTTTGACATTTGTGGGTTGTAAATTATATATAAATATATATATATGGATTTAAGCACAGTATGATAAAAATTTAATTTATTGACTTTTCTTCCTAAACTTAACATTAAGCCAAATTTTTTTTGTCTGGTTGTACCGCTTTATTACCCAAAACTTAAAGTAACATATTGTTCCGTTATACCTACACGGAGGTACACTATAATTACAGAAACGTACATCGTAATTTCGGTTTACTTACACAGTTGTTTACGGGTCATAATATAAAGTGTTACCGCGTTTTCCAACCCGATCTCACGACCAAATCGTACGAATTCGACACATGATTAAAAAGTGTCTAATTCGTACTAATTCATTCGACCTCGCTCGTACGAATTAGTACAATTTTGCTAAATCGTACATATTTTACGAATTGGCCAATTCGTATGAATTCGTACGAATGACCTGCCCCTTACCCCGCCCCTAAACCTAACCATCACGTGGGTTTAGACAAATCGTACAAATTCGTACGAGTGAGGTCGTCCGAATTAGACACTTTTTAATCATGCTTCGAATTCGTACGAATTAGTCGTAAGATAGCGTAGCGTTTTCTCATTCTCATTTACTTATATTAACAGTATCGAGTAGATTTAGGGTTTAGTGTAGGTGTACAGGTGAAACTCGAAAAAAAAATTAGATATCGTACAAAAGTTCATGTATTTCAGTAATTCAAATTAAAAGGTGAAACTAATATATTTAGTATACTTATTTAGTATATACTAATATATTTAGTATACTTATATATTTAGTAACTATATAGCCTACATATGCATGATTATAGCCTACTGTTCAGAAGGCCGACATTTCTGTATTTAAAATCTTTTTTATATTTAATTTTTTTTTTATGTAAATTTTCTGAGTTTTTGAATTTGGGGTTTTCATATGCAAGATATAATCATCAAAATTATAACTTTTGCACGATATGCAAATTTTTCGAGTTTTACCTGTAGGCTATGTTAGGCTATGTACAAACTCTAAAGTTATAAAACGTTTGAATATTCACGTTCATCTGTTCCGGAACAATCTAAACACGCTTTTAGCGCCACTCACTGGACATTAC